AGTTCACCACCCTCCTCCAACCGCGTTACAGTCCCTTTTCAAGTATCTGAGCTCGTACGTCCCCTCCGGACCCGAATCATCACATCCCCTTCCCATCCGCTTGCCAACAGCCCCCGCCCGTCGTTTCTACCGACACCATCGATTCCTTCCGGTCACTTTCTGACCTGGGAGACTTGCAACCTACACAGCGCGGTATTACTGACATGCTCAGGGCCCAGTTGAACAACAGTCCCAGTTGCATGCAATGGGAAATCCACCCCAAGATGTGCTTGTGGCGGTGGGGACCGACCTCGGGCTGTGCGGCGTGCTCCAGGCGTACCGAGAGAACAAGCCGCGGGTGTTTGCCGGGGCTCAAAGTACGAGGTTGCTTGCTGGCTAGGCGGCCTCGAGACACCACGCACGGCATTTGTATGGTACAAAGAGTTGGCTCGAGAGTGGCTGCGGGATGTGTGAGCTGAAGCCCGGTCCGGAGAGGAGTAGGGGGAAGAAGTTGGTGGGGGGGTAGCCGAAGAGAACCTTGAGCTGGAACTGGCAGACAAGGATCTGCTCCTTCTTCCTCGAGGTGGCATGAAGCTCTAGCACAGGCGTATGATCAATCAGAGGTCCTTGAGGTCGACTCAATATGAGTTTACCCGTACCGTGTAACAAGGATACAACCGCGGCGGTCCTGGTATGCGAGGCCCCTGAATTGCCAGAACGAGGTAACCTACGCTGTCTACGCACGTCAGCTCAATGCGAGTACGATAGGAGCTGAGTAGCTCACCAGCACTGCCCGAAAATGCAACACTAAAAAAACACCTCTTGAGTGCGAGAACTGCCCTGGGATTCCCAACCACAAATTGATGCCGCCTACGTATACGATCCTCATGCGTGTAGGCGACCGTAGCGAGGATCGAGACAAGAAGCCTACAAGGAGGGATCATCACTGTCGGCCTGAGCAAGGAGGGATTGTCACCATACCTTGAGTCGGCCTTCACACTGGCTGCTTGAACAGACGAGCGAGCACTAAATCTTGCGCTGCCTACAGCAGTTCCTGAAACCCTTGTCCGTGTTGCGCCGCGCACGTGAAAAAAATAAATCAAATCGAGAAAATCATGAAAATTCCGGAAAATTACGATCCCTGAGGTACAAAGGAATCATTCTTATGACTGGAGAGAATGTAACACTTAGCATGGAGCCCAATGTGGCAGGTTTTTCCCACAGTGCATGTGACTGTTTGAGCGCCAGATAATCAAAGATAAGTAACACTTACTATGCTTACATTAGCTGAGTTTCAAATTTCAGGCTCCCAGACGACGCGACTTGCACCAACACCTGCAAACAAATGCTGTGGCTGACAATTGCCCATGGACTTGGGCCTCCTGTAACATCTAGCTTGGAGCCCAATATGGAAAGAGGTGAGCATGGCATGTGACCTCACCAGCGACACTGGGCTCCAATAGAATCAATCACTTTTTGCAACAGTAAGCACCCACAAATGGATATGGCAATTATATAGTCAACTTGTAGCCCTTGTTTCATAGAGTCTACAGTAATTTTGTTGGGCCCCAATAGTGGCTAGTTAGGCCAGGAAATGCAAAATACAAAAAAAACACAAGAGACTTTGCAGAATTTGAACTGCTTATTTTCACCCTAGATGTGGAGCACATGACCTATACAGTATAGCCATGTGTGTCAGACATCATGAAAATGTTTTATGGTGCCACAACAGAGCTCAGAATGGGCAAGGTTGGCTGATTTCATGCTTGTGCATGGTGTTATAGCTTACCTTCCATATATGGTAACATATTGTAAATGGCACATCCCTCATAAACATGTCATAGTGCTCTATGAATATCTTCTGATTTATCTGCAATTTATGAACCACCAGACATTCACTTTATGAAGAATTACTGGATTTGGAAGGTTGCTCACCATTTAGGGCATTGTGAGCTTTTGTGATACTTCTTGTGCAATAAGCCCTCCCACAACTTGCCTGAAATGTACATTTCCATGGTTCACATTAGCTACACATCACTATCTTTGTATACATGTCTCTTTTGTACCAGAACAGGCACAATAGCCACTAGCCAATCACATGACCAATGACGTGGGGTCGCAACACTCGCAGCGGTGTTTTCGCTGCAACTGCTGCGACCCCACGTCATTGGTCATGTGACTTCGAAAAAGCAGTCAAAAATGCGCAGAATATTCATTCTGAGGACAAAACCTACTGATTTGGGCCCAAAAAAATCGCATAAATCCCCAATGAATTGGGGGACCTCTCTGTAGTTATCCTGAAGTACTTTGAGGTTGTATGATACCAATATGTCTACAATCACAGGTGCCACAAGGCTGCCAATCAGCTTTCATGACACGATAGTAACAGTACCACATTGGGTGTTACCTGTGGCCACTCTATGACATCTTGGAGTGAATGCTCAAGATGAGAGCACAATGTTTAATGTTTGAGGATTCAGACAGTATGACATTGAGGTATCCAGTACATATGTAGCCTGACAAGTGAGAGTATGCACATCTAACAATATCACTAGACACAGCCATGTGTGTGCTCCCAATATGTCTGATATACTCACCATCACACCAGAGTGGGTCTACTATTTTCCCCAGCAATTGCATTACATTGCACCCTGTGCATTGGAGTGTAGGAATGCATACTATGCTAATTGTCATTGATACAGACAGAGAGCACAATTGAGAAAATTTCAAATGCCTATAACTATGGAAAGATGCAAAATGGGTCACATAAAGCACTGTAATCCATGAGAAGGAGCATCAGCAACTTTGAATGTCTCACGATAGCATTTCAAGAACAGGACACAGGACACATATAATGCATGTATGCTGACTAGGCCCACAAAGCATTGCCCAGTGTGAGATTGCCAATTGGGAGGGCACCTGCCATATGTAGTAGTAATCATGATTGTGTGATAGCTTCTTCACAGACCTCCTCATAATTTCCATAGCCTTCATATGGAACAAAGCATGAACATGTGCAGGATATTCATTTTGAGGCCACTTAACCTCCTTGTGTAGGCTCAGAAAGGAATCCCAAACTCCAGAAAATCAATGAAGTAATGAATGACATATGTGGTCATTTTGCTCACCCAAAGCTCTGGACTACAGCTGATCCTTCTGAAAAAGTGAAAGACTTATGCAGACTGCCTGCTATTGTGCAAGAAAAAAACAGTGATGTTGATGATATAATTCTTATTTACAGGTTCTTGCTCTCCATTGAATGTTTGTAACAATGTCTGGGTCAGATTGTTGCTAGTAACTTGTTACATATGTCTGTAGTGACAGAGACATGCTATGGAATGGTGTTGGGACAAGTGATGAGGAGGAATACAGATGAGAATTCCAGTATACTGTATCTTGACCATGTGACTGACTGTTTTTCCACAGCATGAGCTAAAATTCAGGAACAAGGATCATGAATGTACCAAACTCAACCTGAACAGACTTTGACATTGGGAAGGTCTAGGCCAGTATAGTAACAATTTGTAGGGAAGTATATGACTCCCTACCCAGCTCAAATGGTACAATGAACTCTAATAATTATCATTATTCATTCATTAGCATGCTCTACACAGATTATGTAATAGAAAAGTCTGCCAGTTTGAGGTGGTATCATTGTTCAGTGTTTGAGACAGTACATTGAATCCCAGACATGGTATAACAGGACAGCTTAGCTACAGTTAGGCAAGAGCAACTGTGCAACTGCACATATCATTGGGTAATGGCTGTATAGCAATATTGGCATAGCTACCTGGAATCAATAAATCTTTTTGGAAAGGTTATGGATTGTCTAGGACACTTAGGACTCAGGATTTGTGTTACCACATTAAGGATGATGAGCTGAGCCATATGAATGTAAACATCTCTGTTACTACTATGATACTCCCTGATGAATAAAATTTGGCTTGTGCAAGGTTAGTATTATTGTTAAAGCTTGACAACTGCTTGGTCTAGTCAAGCACAGAAGTTAGTCTCACAGACTAGTACGTATCAATACATAATACATATAATCATTGATAAGTGAGATTGAAGTGATAATTTGATGAACCAGAAAACAAAAGACACAGACAACACAACTGGGATCGTATTGCCATACATGGCCCACTCCCCAGCAAGTCGAGAAAAGAGCTGCATACCTCGTAGACACTGTAGAACATCTCCTGTAGACTCACAGAGGTATGCCACGCATCTGAACGGGCCATCAAGGGTGGTGTTGTCGTGTGATGGACATTGTGCGATGGTTGACGTGGCGCCAGCAACGGGCGCTAACACTGAGGAGCCTGGAGAGCATCCACTGTAGAATGCAGTTGTGGGTGCTCAACATGGCCCGGAATGTATCCGGGATCACTTGGAGGTAAGGCTACTGCATAGATATGATCTGCAAGGAAGAAAATTGGATATCTGACAGGTGGTCAGGTCGCAGACTCTGGCTGTCTCGTGTTGCCCTTGAGTGAGATGCCAGCCTACTTAGTATTCAGTTTATATCTTGAACAAGCCTCCAATAAGCTATTGGAGTGTTCGTGTTACTCCAGGAGACACTGCGACGTAGCATTTTCTTGCTGGCCACGAAGGCTATCTCGGAGCTCAGAGGGCTTACAAGACAAGAGTTCGTCATTGGAAGACTAGGCTGATTCGGGTTTGAATCCCTCACATGGCACTCCAATATTCGTACAGTTCGATTCTGTGCCCATGTCGTCGTCGGACCCAACTCCATCTTGACAGTTGCGAGGCGGCGAGTCCTGCTACCAGTGCTGCCAAGCAGTCATGGACCAACCATTGACCACAAGCCACTACTTCTGTTATATTGAGACATAAGTACATCACTGTCGATACAGCTGTCCTCTATGCTCATTTCGGGCTATGTCGAGCACCCACAACTGTGTTCTGCCATGGATGTTCCCCGCGCTCCCCAGCGTTAGCGCCCGTTGCTGGCGTCACGTCGACCATTGCACAATGTTCATCACACAACAACACCACCCTCAATGGCCCGTTCAGATGCGTGGCACACCTTTGTGAGTCTACAGGAGATGTTCTACAGTGTCTACGAGGCATGCAGCCCCTTTCTCGATTTTCCGGAATTTTCATGATTTTCTCGATTTGTTTTATTTTTTTTCACGTGCGCGGCACAACACGGACAAGGGTTTCAGGAACTGCTGTAGAATGACCAGTCACCAGGCGCCTGCTTGCGCGTCGTCTCCAAACCTGTGTCTGGCTCGCACTCCTTCATAGCCAGCTCTTCGTGCTGTGGTCAGACACCGTCACGCAGTCCAGCGGTCGTTCCATGTTGATGTCTGTGTTGGCCTCGGGCTGGGTGACGCATCCACAAACGACCAAAAGGCCGTGTCTTGTCATTGGCAGCGAAAGTCGACCTCACAACGACACCCATTCCGAATAGCGGCCTCAGTGAAGATGCACCAGATGCTCAAGCCATCGTCCTCTACACGCCTCGGGAGCAATGTATGTCCCAGTGTGCCGAAGGCTGTCACTGCCAATTCGCCCATGGGTGACTAAACCGTGCTCGCCCCAACTGAGCAAGATCAACGCTCGCAACGAACAGGCGAGCCCTGCGCTGTCCCTCACCGACGCCCTCGGAAACCCAAACAGTAAGGGTGTCTCTGATGCTGCGCAATGGTGGGCCAAGGTGCGCACCTCTTACGCCTTCACCTCGTTCTCGTATGCTCAGCCTGCAGGTCAAGTTAGTTGAGGAGGTGGGGCACGACGTCATTTACACATTGTGGCCGAGTGTGCACGGAACTTCGGATGAAGTTCTCCGCGGTGCGTAGGGCCATGCCGATGCGTGCTGCGTGCTTACGAACCCGCAGAGCTGCCAGGCCTGGACTTCAAGTCTACGGTGGAGCCCCGATTATAGTGTCTCCTGTGCACCTGAGGCTCGACCCCTTCACCCAGCACCACCCCTTGTACGCCTTTATTGGTTGCTCTCCGTGAAGATCACATCCACTGTCGGATGCAAGTGCCCAGTATGGCGACGGATTGCAACGATTGAATGGTGGTTTGCAGGTGCAGAGTGTGGTGAGTTGTTCAGTGTAAACTCATGAATTGGAGACCTTTACTAACCTGTGCCTTCGCTTTGCTGCGCAATTGCGATCACAGCCTCACCCCAGGGCAGTCCGTTGGCCTCACGTGCTGGGTGTCCTCAAATCCTCGTGGCACTGTTCTACGCACGATCAACGTAGCCTGCACAAGGACGGTACAGCGGCATGAACTAGCTCAATGACTACAGCATACTCATCATGTTTAGTAGCCGGCAGTTGTAGGCTACGCCCAGACAGGTCAGCAACAATAGGCCTCGTTCTACTGACAGTGCGGCCTGTATTCAAATCGGATGCTTCACGCGTATATCTGCTTCATTGTATATCATTGCTGTGAAGTGATGAGATGGGCTACGTTAGCTGCGAAGTATATACACTATGTATACACATGTTCTGCGTAGTCAATTAGGACTCACTTGTTGGAGTGAGTAGCACTCGTAGTAAGATCCATAGACAAATGATATTACCCTTCAGGCCACTGCATCTTTGTGATTTGGACACCTCACTCAGAACAGAAATGTGATTGCAAGCGAATCAAGTCATATAGGCCCTTCGTCACCTTGTTTGAATGAAGCCAAATTTGACACAGACTTGGAGAACAATTAGTCACGATGTTCGCGCTCGCAGCCTAATTCTACCAAACACATCCTGTGCAACTGCCGGCTCGAGATGACTTGGTCATGCAGCGAAGAACAGTAATTACTTATATGTATACTTGTACATAGTATACATGGTCGACTGTTGCCCGAGACACAGAGAACACGGAGACATTGTCAGAGCTTGAACGTGTTATGTGTTTTCACTCTCAGGTTTGTGCACCTCGCCTGGGAAGTCCCACAATGGGATGTCCCTAACAGACCCAACCAACTACACCAATTACTCATCCAATCCGCTTGTCGTTGTCATCATTGTCGAGACGGCGGTCATCCTTGAGGCTACGTCGTCATCGTTGGAGCAGCTACGTCATCGGCAGCGCTGTACACCGTGACGAAGGCGAGTACCTGTATGCTGTCCTGTTAGCTGGCTGTCGGCATATCGTTGAAGATAGTGCTACTAAGACTACGATGCAAGATATGTCCTATTTTTGAGGATGTCGAGGTGAGCTCTGCCGGCGCACCATGGAGAAGGTAGTCACTCATTCTTCTCGGCTTAGTTAACAGTCCCAGTGACTCGCGGAGCCATTTCTGCAAACTGCGCGAGTAGGGAGGAAAGGCTTGAGTGTATGACGGTCCATCTGCCGACCATGTGGTACAAGTACTCCAGTGGTAAAGTCCGCACTTTTGGTCTTGTACTGTGGCTAACTACTCGGACTAATGCAGATACGAACCGTGGTGTTGAAGATAGTGCATTGCATGGGTATGGATAACCCATGTGGGTCATGGGTATGGGTATGCATGGGTATGGGTATGGGTAGCCAAAATCTGACCCATGTACCCATGCAACCCATGGACTTCTGTGGTAATAATTCAGTGGTAAAATTTGGCAACTGTTGATTAGATAGTCTGTGCTATGTTTCTCTCACAGTTCAACAGCTATATGGTGATCCTGAAGCTTGCTTCAAAGTACTTTGCAATAGCAGTATGGGAAAGTTGACAAGTGTTCCCTTTCCGTAATGTCAGCCTTCAAGATACAGTTGGTACTTGCTAGAATGGCATTATATATTTGAATCCATTTTCAAACATTCAATAATGTTCAACTTATGATTATGAGGATGATTCAGCAAGGCCAACCTGCAGGAATATAAGGAGTGTCAACTTGCTCATGGACGACACACTTTTGCTCCACAAACCATCTATCTTGACCCACAACTAACAACTACAGTACTCTGTACATTGTAGTTAGACCAATGCACTGTTCTTTCTAACCTAACTCTCTCCTTGTCCATCTCATCTACCTATCTAGCTCTCCTGACCCAAGCAATACCCTGAGTGACTGGAACCAAGTTTGTGCAAGACCTGCCTATGCCACATCCTGTCTTCTATAAGTAACCAGAAGACAGATTTTGTCATTTATTGTTATGCTCCAACCAATGATACACAGACTACTGAGGTTGTCCTATTGACAACAACAAGTGCATTACAGTGTATGTACCATTATGCTCAATTCAATGCAGTGCCATGTGCTTGGTAGCCCAGTGCAGCTGAGATACTATACTGGCACAAAATATTATCATACTGAATCTTACCATGCAATTGTCCATGCTGGACAGCCAGTAATACTGTATACTTAATTCCTTGCTAGGTACATGTGACAGGGCCACTCTAGAATTTTGAAAACTCAGTATGAATACTGTGTCATGGACCCCTTGAGGTGAGCCTAGACCTGCAGTTCCAGCACTACATTTAGCATAGATGCCTTGTTAGTTAATTTTCTAAATCCAGGATTTCAGCAGAGTGACCAGTGGCCACAGTTACATGCAGGTGGCAGGCCATTGAATACAGTAGGTCTATGATCATGCTTTTTATAAGACATCATGCTCCTTATTGTGTCACTTATCACCTGGCAATGTATTAACTAGGCTTGAATGAAAGTAATTGCATAATGGGCTGGTCACATTCATCCTCTGGCCCCACTTATCATATATTAGTGGAAGCCTGGGACATAAGACAGGATTCAGTGATGATGATCAAGAAATAAATCCAAATAATTTTAATATGATCCTCTTCTCAGGGGCTAGTCTGACAGACATTATCATATTCATGACACAATGCAACATCTTGTCTGTGTTTCAGTTCAATTTTTGTATACCCTGAGATACATTTGTTCTGCTTAATGTTGACCCATTGTAATCCCACTACATCTGGGTGATCCAATATGATGGGCTTTAGAGGGTTCTGCCCATGGTATCACTATACATTTTGTGTTGTGATGTGTAAGACTTATTTGTGTATACAGCCTTGCTATTCCCCAAATGTTGTGGTTGTCCCACCTGAATATCCATATATGTTGGAAATATAGGTACAGTAACTGCCCTCATGTAAGTGACTCCCATGTAATTAATGTGTCCTGGCTTGCAAAAGTGGAAGCTCCAACAATGTTGTGATTGACCATGCAGTCAGTGAAACTCACCTGGCCAGCATGATACCAACAAACACATCCCATATCATGCAAAATTATGAGTACCATGAACTGCACATAGATCTACCCATGATAGTACCCATACTCAAGGGTACCCATGATACCCATGCAAAACCCATACCCATGGCATGGGTATGCAACCCATGTGGGTATGGGTATGGGTATGCCCTCAGACACCCATGGGTACACCCACGCTATGCACTATGCGAGACACACCGCCGACTGGTTCCAAACCTGAAGGGCAGGGCCCTGCTACTCGTCAAAATCGGAAACCACCTCGTAAGCCCAATGAAGACGTCTCATATGTGCCCGTCACTCGCGGAGATCCCAGTCTGGCTGGGCGTAACGACCAAACAGACGATGATGGGACTGACCACAACCCAACTGTAGACAAGAAGGTATGCCTCGCGGTTGCTCTTGACAAATTGAACGTGTTGATGTAATGTCTGTCGTAGGCCAATACAAATCACACTACCCGCAAGAAGACTGCCTCAACAGCGCAGGCTGAAGACTCTGACCAAAACAGTACGACAACCTCGTCTCGTCTCGGTGCAACTGCACCCACAAAGAAGAATGCAGCCGGCAAAGGCAGAGGAGTACGTCGGACAGTGAGTGTCCGAGTCCTTCATACTTGTTCTTGTTCTTATTCGCTCAGAGGGTTATCCAGGCGAACTCGGGCCGAAGTAAGAATCAAGCCGAGGGGCCACCACATAGCAGGATCGAAGCAGAAAGCACAGTTATGGTACGCCTGCGGCACTGTACGGAAGTCATGTATTGACTTTGCGGCGACTGTAGTGCATAGCGTGGGTGTACCCATGGGTGTCTCAGAGCATACCCATACCCATACCCACATGGGTTGCATACCCATGCCATGGGTATGGGTTTTGCATGGGTATTATGAGTACCCATGGGTATGGGTAATGTTATGGGTAGTCCTATGTGCAGTTCATGCTCAATGGCTTGCAAGATATGATGACACTTATTGTGCAGAGGCCAGAATATCAATCAGGCACTGTACAGTTGGTGAATTCTCATCATAAATTGATGCTATGTGCAAGACCAAGGATGAGCACCCCTCAGACCAGTTCACTGACTGTGTGGTCAATCACAACAGTGGGAGTTTCCAGTTTTTGTCCCACATACATGCAAGAACAATAGAAAGATGAGTGGGTATGGGAGGGGTCAAAGCAAGGTTCGGTGTATCAAAGTCAAACATAGCAATACACAGGGGTGTACCTTTTTCCGATTTGTAGACTTGTAGTGTTGTTGCATGTCATGCTCACTTGTTAAACTGCAATAGAATGGGCAAGTGTGTTGCCTGAAGTAAGAACTGAAGGGCAGGTAATACAGGATAGGCAAAGATGAACAACTGACAAAAAGGGAAAACAATGTAAACAAGGCACAAAGATCATGGAAGCAAGGTATGTATTACAACTCATAACTCTGGTGGTTACACAAGTGTGTCATAACAGTACAAATAGCTACACAGACCCACAAGAACTGAGGAATGAAACTAGCAAGGTTGTATACATCCATAGATCTTACATATATTACCAAATATGAACAGTGACGCAATGGGCAGAGCCTTATAACATGTGCTGTTTACATATAGCAGTATCACAGGTCAACAGTCAGCAGATAAATATACCTCAGACTCAACAACTACACAACTGAATCACAGGAAAGATGTAGCAGTGCTCCATCAATACCAGCAGTGTCTTTCACATATAACAGCCTGTGAGAAGAGAGTCATATCAGGATTATTAAGCAATATCATCACAGGATTCCCACATTTCATTACGTTTTCACCAATATAGCATTAATAAGGGGCAAGGCCTGTCAATGACTATGCCAAAAGGCAGTTTCATTGAGCTTAGCTTGCCAATTGTGAAGTGGTGCATATAGGCCCTACTCTATGTTAAGAAGGTTTGTCATCTGAGTGGTCATGTGGCCGCTGTCAATACCATTCCACTAGCACCTTGAATTTATTGAATTGACCAACAAGGCATGAACACTACCTCATAGGTATGTACTGCTGGTGTGACAAGCATATAGGCCCATCTCAAAGTGTTTGTGACATAGCAATCATGCTGATTTCTTTTCCATCAGGATCCCTTGTCACAGGTGACCAACTAAGCATTACACAGTATTACCAGAGGATTCAGTATGGTCACATTGTTTGGTAGAGCATTCCAGCTACACCATACTGACAAACACATGGCACTGCAGTAATCATTGTGCATTGAAAAGGTTAGTTGAGCTTTCTCCTAATTCTTCATTTGAGCCACAACAGCACATACACTGCAATGCACATTAGATATTTCATTTGCTTATTTGATGGCCTCAGCAATCTGTGTATTTGATTATAGCATATCAATATTGGCAAAAGCCATGTCATGCATGGTCAATGAGTCTTGAGGGAAATGACTGGTGACTTTACCATACTGCCACTATTGCAAAATACTCTCAAGCAAGCTTCAGAATGGTGACACCCTAAATGCTAGCATACTATGAGAGTGACACAACACTGGATACCTGGCTAGGAATTAACATTGATTACTGCCAGTGGATAAGCACTGCAGAAGTCCATGGGTTTCATGGGTACATGGGTCAGATTTTGGCTACCCATACCCATACCCATGCATACCTATACCCATGACCCACATGGGTTACTCATACCCATGCAATGCACTAGTAAGAATTGGTGTTCAAGTTGCGCCATCACGGTCACGGACACTGTACAGCGGCAGAAGACTCGAGGAGTACAAGGTCAGGCATTCAATGCATAATATGTCATGATAACATTTCTCACCACAAATATAAGTACAACCGTTTGGAATGTGCTCGCACCAATCTACAAGCCCGGAGCAACAGGCACACCACGATTTGCACAGAAGGAGTTTCCTGATGTGGTTAGAATTCAAGGGCTGAGGAGGAGTCAGCATATGCCCTCTTGCTAAATAAATTGCTGTTACACACCAGCGTTGTTGTTCATGTGTCCGACCTTGAAGATCTGTTTTGTAGATGGGGAACCAGACACGCCTTGTTGCTGCCCGGATGCCCTCAGCTTCCGTGCATAGGATTGTGCCTCTTCCATCACAGCTTTGAGGACAGCACAATCTGTGACTATGATGTTTTTACCCGTGGACTTGTCGACAATCTTGTTTAGATCGGGTTCCTTCGTATATAACTGCGGCAGCAGGCTCGCCCGGCTCAGCTGGTGGCGGTCCTAGGCCAGTAAGTACACTGAGTTGTCACAATGATTGAACACTGCAACTTACTGTTGGGGAAGAGCCTTCCAGTGCTGATAGCACAGCAGGAAGCGCGAGAGGAACCAAGGCAGCAGGGTGGTGTAGTCCGTCCGAACTGACACTGTCCTTTTGCATTTTTGTAAGTGTCTGTACTGAGCACCTGCACGGTTGCAAGCTGACTCAGAATGGCCTCGTTTTCCCTCACAAGCGACCACCAGTCGCTCAGATTCTCCAAGTAATGCAGTGTCATGTGCATATTGTTCCCAGCACTGCGTGTGGTGAGTGCCTCAAGGAAAACAGTGTTCAACTTTTGAAGCCTGAGATCGAGATGCGGATCCCCACTCGCTGCAAGCACTGTCTTGACCTCCATGGCAATTGCCCTTGGGTTGTGCCGGGCTAGCGGGTGTGCCGTGGGGTCAACTGCGAGGAGGGGTGCGGTGTTGAGGGGTGCGGCATTGACAGCGGGCGCGGGGTCGACGAGCAGAGGGGGGCCAAGCGGGCTGCGGGAGACAGCATAGGTGACGTCATTGAAGCCATTGGGGACAGCTGTAACAGCATTCATGGCGTCGACAGCAGCAGGTTGCGGCTCAGTCACTTGCATGATCCACGACTGGTCTGCCATGGTGTGGGTTAGTGGGCAGCCAGGCAGCACTTTTAACCCTGCAATACTTGTTTGTAAGACTCCAGAAGGGCATCAACTGTTCAGTGCTGAATGCAGTACTGATGACCCTTACCCGTGGTGCACCCACGGCCTGCCATACAGGCTCTCAGAAGAAGCCTGGGTTGGACGCAGGCACGGCTCCTCATATCCTTATACCCCCATCCCCGTCTTGCCCACGCCCTTGCCCTTGCCTCATAACCCCCTTCTTGCCCTTGTTCTCAGCCTGATGCTCTGCCCTCATCTTCGTTACCATGTTCATGACCGTGCCAGAGGGTGTCCCCGCGTGCTGGTGGCCTGCGGACCTTGGCGCGGTGACAATGCACAATGTCGCGGTCACCCTTGCGCTCGGCAACAGCCTTAATCCCATGATCAGCACAGCATTGTACACAACACGCTCGGTGTCGGTATCACTCAGTTGTCGTCGCTCACAGTTGTTGGCAGCTCGTATAAGACTGGGAAGCAGAGGGGCAGGACAACTGCGCGCAACTTGCACAAACTGGAGGAAGCCGCCGCCGCCGCTACCCTCAAGGAGGCAGTTGATGCCCGTCTTTGTGCAATGGACATTATGTCGCACGGTATGCCTCGCTCCCTCTCCCGCCGCAAGGTAGCTGCCTCAGTCATGAGCGACACAATGGCCGGCAAACAGGCCTCAACAGCCGGTCACGCTGCTGACACAGATGATGGTGCTTCGACCTCTCTCACCGCTGTCCTGAGCCAATATTGTTTGGCTCAAGGAACATGGTATATACCTCTATTTCCTTTCTATTGATATGACCTGTTACCAGACTACTCATTCACAGCACAGCCCCCTGCAGTGCATAGCCATGGTCATGTGAGACTAGTCTAGAAGGTCACGTGGGCTTCGAGATTGCAGTGTGACTGGTTGCATAGTCATGAGTACAGCATGAGCATAGCCACGCACAGCCTATGCACAGCCCCCGGACTGGCTAGGGCCTGCTGGGCAATCCACATGTTGTCTCAGAGTACAGCCTCCAGATGTATTTCAAATAGGATACAAGGCAGTGCTAGATACTGACTTGTGATTGGCTGACCCATGTCATATGGCAGTACAGGCTGTACCACATGAGTCGCTTTGAAGTACGTAGCTGTGTTCATGACTAAGGATGAGTAAGGACTGACTAAGTAGTGTAATCTGTATGAGTAAAGCTGTTCCCCACATGTATATAAGGCCCCCAGTTTTCCATGGATGAGGCAGTCAAGTTCTCCCAGATTCTCAGTGTAGATCTTGTGAGCTGCTGCTCTGCAAGTTAGTAACATAAGCTAACAAGCGGCATCCTAGTGTGCAATATACTACAGTTCAGCTTAACAGTCTATTGTGTGACTTCAAGCCCCTGTTAGTGCCTCTAGTGATTCTTGATCGGTAAGCTGTTTTACCTTAATCAGCAACTCTTGTAGTCACATCTCAGTCACGCACGTCACTCGTATCCACATATTCCAGTCCAGTGGGTAGGCTAGTGGTTAGTCTATTCATTCAGCACGTCACGTCACTTCAACGAGATCAGCCAAGTTATAGTGTGTAAAGGCAATTCAATTGCTGTGGTAAGTAAAACAACTGTACTTGCTAACAAACTTTACAGTACTACCAACACTCAACCAACCCCCTCTACAACAAACAACTGTGATAGCCCAGTATTGCTCATACCCGGTGAACCGCAGCAGAAACACATTCTGACCTGACACCGCCATCGCCGCGAATGACACTGGGACCATCGTGCAGCCTTCTACGGCTGATGCAGCTGCTCCTGCAATCATCAGCACAGGTGAGTCTAGTATTGACATCTTCATTTCCATTTCATCTGTGTCTGACGTATATCCTACAGATGTCAATGCACTTCCTCACTCTCTTCCTGGTGTTAGCGCGCCTGTTGCTGCAGCAGTCTCTGCTCAATCTGATGTTATCATGTTTCTGGGGTGTTGTCAACCCAATCGCCTTCTCACCCATCTTCGCTTGCTTTGGCCGCACCCAGCGAGGATGTCATGCCAGTGCATCCTGTGGAATTTGTGTCAAGGTCGAGGGGGGTGAGACTGCTCAGGTGGAGCATGTTGCACGCCCCAAGAACCCCCCGCCGTGTCGCAATCCTCCTCGCAAGGCGGTCCATTAGGTGTAGCCGAGTTACACATACAATATCTACGTCTATCATCTTCACGCTCACTTGGTCTTCTTGCTACCTTTATATACCTTACCACTGCCCTCGTACCAGCACGTTGTACTGTTCTTGATGTGGCTGCGCCTCAGGACAATGTATCATACCTTGTTTTGAACATGCTTGCTGACCCCATCTGTCTATATGTCAAGTACTGCTGTGGTATGCAATATATGATTATGATCTGTACGATGTGCCATGAAATGAATGCAGCTGGCATGCTGCCTGGCTATGAGTGAACATGTGAAGATTGGGACTGATAATGTGTGTACTTCCCCTTTGCTGCTCTCTCGCACATCTGTCAGTGTCTAATCTGGCCATCCTCCCCTCTGACAATTGTCTGACCTACCCAGCTACAACTAGGCGACCTCCGGTGCTACTCAGGATGGCCTTCCGTAATGGACACACCTGGCTCAGCACATTGCGGCGGATACATACAGGGAGTGCTGATCTAACTCGGAAGGGGGTGTGCATTGCAAAGGTACGTACAGAAGCTTCGTAGAACTGTGTTGTGTTTAGGTACTGCTGAATATGTGCAGTGCTGAAGTCAATGTTGATTGCCTCTACCATTTCAGGCCAGAGGACAGCACACATCATCGCAATTCCAGTATGGAGGTACGTACATCCAACCCATATTGTCATCGAACTCAGAAGCAATAGCTCTACTCGATCTGCTTCACTCATCGTGGCGCGCACAATAACATCACTGCCAGGCTGTACCCCACGAGCCAACATTACAATGTATGTGCATCTCCGCAAGCTCGCAATCAAGTCGTCACTTGTCTGATGAACAAATCTGTGCACTGAGGCCTGAGGACTACGGCAATACCTCAGCTATAAAGGCAAGTCTTCCCCTCGGTATTCACACTGACAGCTCTTGAACAGTACCTCAAAGTCACTGCCATGTCCAGCCGCATCTTATACAAAGACGAAGACACTCTGAGCAACATTTCTGACATGGACGACAAAGATAGCAAGTCTATTGATGAAGACGATGGTATGCAGCAAACAGTACAAGGTGAGCCTGAGTGGAATCATTTGAAGTATTGTCTTGTTTTATCCGCATTTCTGAGCCCAGACACAGCAGGTAACTCAGACTTTCCATTTTGGGAATGTAAACTATCACATATAGCAGGTTTGGTCACACAATTCATAGGCAGTTGGTAAGCATCACAGGAAAAACAAACAATGTGAAAGAACCAGTGTTCACAGAGCCATATGCTGGTGCTATATTTGTATGAATCTATGGGAAAGCATACTATGTAAAGCCTCTCTGGCATCATATACATGACTAGGAATTTTCCCAATTGTTTTTGATCTTTTGGGAGACCATAGCACAGCAAATACATTGTCACTAATGAGCTTGTGGCTTGCATTCAAACTCAGCCCAATAGCCTGCCTTTGCAGGGCCTATTGAAGAGTTGAACTGAACAGAATAGCCTAGGATCCTGTCTGGAGCTGCCAGTCCCCGGGAATTCCAGGTGATAATGGTGCTTACAAGATGGACCAAGACTCACTGACAGAGTGGCTTACATCAGGCTATGCATGGGTCATTCTGCATTATTATATGTTTTCTGCCATATTGGAGCCTCAACAGTCAACTCAATATGAATTCATAGTACTATCTGATTTTTCTCTGATTTTCCTGCTATTTATCCAGTCCTGCAGAGGCCATGCACGGCCAACTTCCCAAATGGGCAGGAAACTGACCATATATGGCCGTTTTGTATGTTTGATATCCCCCACTTCACAGAGCCTCTCATACATGTGGAACTGTCTAGTACAAGCATCATACACACACCAAAATCTGCTTATATGCCTCAGTATCATCACTTATGATGGTCAGTACTCTCAAAGACACCTAATCTGGACACTGCTATCAGTACCCAAGGGGCATCCCATGGAGAAGCAATATTTTGGGATTTTTCCGCATTCAATGGGGCTCTAGTAAGAGCTCAGGTAGTGTGGCTTCAAACCATCAAAAAACTCGGCATGAAGAGCTGAGATTGAAAGATTACCTTAAAAGGTAACATTTGTCAGCATTCCAGCCAATGGGAGTGCTCCAAAATCCCTTTTGAGTGACCGGAGTCGTTGACAGGCCAGAATTCCGGCCTGTCGACGACTCCGCTTCGGCAACGGGCGCTTAAACGGGCGCTTAGTAAGCGATGTAAGTTCAGCCTGTTACTGCAGCAAATCTGACTTGTTTTGGGCTCAGAAAAGTCCAGGAAAATCGGATAATATTCCAGGAGATCTGTGGAGCATTTATGAGCATATTCACAAGTAGAGAGGATTGTCCTGTATAGTTATTCAGTGCTGGGACATCAACACATACTTGCTATGACAATATTTCTCCATTTGTAGCACTGCTGTGCATGTTTCAGAGACATCAATGTGTTGGACACTATACACTTGGCCATAGAGGACATCTGTCATGTGTTTCACATGCAACAGAACAAATGCATATTCACAGAGTCATTTCTGTTTCTGATCTTAGCATTTTGCTACTCATTCAACCACTTCTCTCAAGAAACTATGATAGACACTAGGAATGAAGGGCTATGAGGTGAGCTTATGATATCTATAACAGTTGGTTGGAGCTCAGTCAGTGTATCCCAGTCACATTCTACCCAATCATGTCTACAGAGGTAGGGGTGTTTCTCTGCATTTTGAATTTTATACATGGGCAAGCCATACTGGTCATAGCCTCTGGGGGTCCTATAGTGGATCAATTTCTTACATACAACAGGTACTACAAGTGAGTCCAGTTGCACAGAATTTTCCCTGGTTTTATCTGCATTTTCTGAGCCCAGACTGAGCAGCTGTATGGAAATTACCATTTGGGGAAGGTTAGCTACCCTTTATGGCAGGTTTCAGATGTCATAAAGACATACAGAATCTATGGGCAGTCTACAGGCTTCAAAAGAGTCACTTTGAGGGTGAAAAGGGATGCAACCATGTGCACAGAGGCATTTGTGTGTTTTTTTATTGTGTGAATTGTGCCATAACCACTGGAGGTAATGGGCAAGTCACCGCAGCTATAGACTCTATGACATCATACCTATCACAGAGATTATTTTGCGAATTTTCCGCATTTTAGTGGGACCACAGTGCAGGAGATACAGTGCCACTAAGGAGCCTGTGGCTGAGATCCAAACTCAGCTCAAAACCTCGGCAGCCTGCCCGATTAGGGCAGAAAAGGGGCTTGTTGCACCAATCAGAGCAGCTCGGCATCCCTTTCGTGCCGTTCGGAGGTGCAACCGTGCCAAATTTCCGCATGGATGCACCTCCGAACGGCATCTGGGCGCTTGATGGGCGCTTAGTAAGTGATGTAAGTGCGGACTATTACTGTGCTTATATGGGCTTATTTAGACCCAGGAAAAAGCGTAAAAATCAGAGAATATTGGAGATGGACCAGGGAATGTGATTGAATCTGTCTATGAGATATGATTGACATCAATAAAGGCAGCATTTTCAATAACTGTGTAACATCACTGATGTTACCTCAGTGAGCTTATTCATACATGCCTGCTCCTTGACTGTAGGAACTACTCATGTAGTTGAGGACACCCCATAGGATGGTAGTGTAAGTACAGATGCCTATATGTATTCTGAGTTTGCATCTGTGTGCAAGACAAAGCCAGTGGCTGCATAATTGCCATATGAAGTATATTGCCTTCCTAAAGAGGAATCATACACAAACTGGTGAATCTGGGGCTCAGAAAAATCCAGAAAATCTATGAAATATACAGACACATCAAAGACAAGTGCATGGTTACTTTTAGTCCCAATTTTGGTTATTACATGGTGTCCATGGGCCACAATATGGCAATGGATGGTAAAATGACCCATTGTTGACCTTGTTAGCTCTGTCATAGAAATCACTGAGCAGTACACAGTGCCTAAACCACACATATATATCACAGTGTGCATACAGAACATATTTCAGCCATAAACAAGTACTTTGAATCAGCAGAGGCACATGTGCATTTTTATATTTTGCATTTCCTGGCCTAGCCAGCCACTGTATGCACTCAGTAAAATCCCTGTATACTCTCTGAATGAAGGACTATCAGATGAGTATACTATGTATACTATGCCTTGTTACTGGCTGAGACTATATAGGCCCTACAGTGTGTGAGCGCTTGCAGCATTGAGCCACCAAGCTGCCAGTCACATGATATGTTCACCAGTTTCCTTATTGGGGGAACTGCTAAGGCGTTTCATGGGCCTCATATCCATAACTGAGCGCTTAGCCACTGCATTTGTTTGTATCTGTTGGTCCAAGTCGTGTCGTCTGGGAGTCTGAAATTTCAGACTCAGATAAGCAACCCATACTAACAGTTACTTATCTCTGCTTATCGGGGTGGCTGCAAGTCACGTGCACTGTGGGAACAAACTGCCATTCTGGAGGAATCACTAAGGCATTTCATGGTGGTCCATCATAAGAACGATACCTTCGTACCTCAGGGATCGTAACACCTTCTCCCGCCAAGACCGACCAGTCCTCATCACCCCGCCCAGGCAGACCTGCCTCAACTTAGCAATCAAGTTTTCATGATCGTCACCATTCAGGAGACACAACCTCAGAATATCCCGAAGCACCACTACATGCCAAACAAGTGTTGGGAGCTACCGCACAAGGACAGTTGCATCACGGGAGGCTGGGGTTATGGCGATGATATATATGTGGGTGAGATCAGGGTGTACTTGCTGGCCTTCCACCCCAAGGAGGATTACGAGAGACTGGCCTACCTGAAACACAGGTCTCTTGAAGACATCGTGGAGGAGGGGTACGGCATGGTACGTCCCTTGGGACCCTGCTTCTTATCTGATGCACTGATACTCCAGCAGCTCATATGGTTGAAGTCAGAAAACCTCAGCAAGGAGGAGAAGGAGCAAGCCCAGAGGTCTCTGCAACATTACCGCAAGACCATGACCCCATCAGGAAAAAAGCATTTTACTTGAGCGCCTTGTGCAAGTCGCCCAAGTACAATTGGTTTAAAAGACAAGTCCCCTGCCAATTTTGCTCGACCAAGACACCCAAGGCACGTAAATGGCATGAGGGCCTTGTCAACAGGTCAATGTCATGGCCCCGCACAGACTACTTGTAGTTCATGGTATGCTTTCCTGCCTACAAAGCCTTTTATTACTAATCGTACTTACTGTCCTTAACAGCAAGGGTGGGTGTGATATTTGGGGCTATTACTTATTATCCTTGACAGCAAGGTGCATGTGAAACACGTCTTTGTGTCAAGGCATCTTACTAGTTCATTCTCTCTGGCTTTGATTTTTGCATTGGTAATCAGATCAAATTTGCATGGTGTACAGCTACAATACAACATCACGACGAACGACACAGTACAACAGAGCATACGACAGAGCAGAACAAGCCCACAACAAACCTCAGAGCATTGAAGAGAACTAATGGTACATACACTTTCCGAGTTTGGTATGTAGACGTGTAGCATGTAGATAGTAGGTATTCTATAGAAATCAGTGTTGATAAATGAGGTCCTGTAGAAGTCACAGACGCACCTCGGAAAGCGTAAACTTGAACAGTACACTACGACTTATCACCGCAGTCCCTCAGGCAGCGACCTCGGTCTCATCCAACTGGTCGAGCTCCTCAGCTCCTGGTGCGCGTCCGTCGTCCGTGACCCGTCCATCACCGTCGTCATCATCTGAAGCGGCGTCTGGTTCTATGCATCAGTAGGTTGCACATTATCAATGTGCTCCACTCACCTGGCTCTGCGACCTCGCCAACGGCCTTCCCTTTCGAGGAACTCGCCTTCGCCCTGGAAGGTGAGCTCGGGGCACTTGTTGCCGCAGGAACGGCCGATGTAGATGACGGCTTGCCCGTGTGCCCCGTCGTCTTCTTTGTCGCACCACTGGACGAAGGCTTCCTCCGCGACGTGCTGGCGGATGCGGGGTTTGTCTTCGCTCCGCTGCCAGAAGCGCCAGCGTCATGTTGATCCGCAGGTTCCTCGGCTTCAAGTGCGACGGTTTGGAGCTTTGACCAGTTGACGAAGGTGCCATCTTCGTCATCACTATCCTTGGTCTTGATGTCACCGCCGCTCTCCGCTCTCGCCCTGGAACGACTGATTCAGCTGCCACGCACCGCGGATCACTGGCACTGCGACCTCACCTTATGCTCTCCCACAGCTGCCTCTTCGTAACCTTGTAGTAGTCGGGCGCGTTGTGCTCCATAGCCTCCAGGATGGACATCAGGTCGTCCCATCTGTAGGATTGTCAGTACTAGGTCATGCATGAACATCAAGATGACAATCAACTTACTTGGGTGCGAACACCTTGTTTGAGAACGACACAGCCGTGTTCGTCGCGACTTCCCTCAAGCCAAGTTCAATCTGGACAAAATAAATTGAATACTACGGATTTGAATGAGAAACACACTTACGGAGTTGCACACTAACGCAATTAGGTTGTCTGGGACCTTGCTGAACTCCTCCGTCGGCGTGGTTGCCTTGGCATGGCCCATGAACCACTGCTGTGCGATGATCTCGGCGATCGCGGGGTGTCGGAAAGGTGTATCAGCCTTGACGTGCGATTTCTGATGCGTAACATGAGACATGCATCGTGCAACGGAGGAATGTTAAGGTCAGTGAACAGTGAGACTGACCTCCTTGCTGATGTTATCCTTGTCGTCCCAAACAACCTGGATGTCCCCGAACACAAAATTCGGGATGCCTCGCTTGCCACCCCTCACCTTCATGGCATGCGTCGTCAATAGCCAGGTCGCAAGTTGAGTCCGCTTGTGGCCCTGCACGACGTTCAAGCGGTACGCGTGCTCGACGATGACCTTCGCCTTTCTTTTCACCTCGTTGCGAAGCTGCGAGGCGATGGTCCAAATCTGCAGAGTGTCAACTACAATCGAGGAATTCAGTAAAGTACGTACCAAATCCTTGACCTGCTTGTGCTGGGCGTGATTCTCCGGGCTTTCCCCACGTCTCAACATCCTGTATGCAGTGCGTACCGTCACCATCTTCTTGCCGTCCTTGTCCACGGAGTCGCGCGCAGCTCTCAGGGCATCCCCGACGAGCTCTTCATTCATCACGAGGCGGGAGCTCGTGATTGTCGTGTCCGACGTCCACGCGGTGCTGAGAGCCAGTATATTGCGTAGGCAGTTCTGCGCCATGGCGACCAACGGCTTCATGTCGACGGCCAGGTCGGCAACTTTCACGCGGACACGGGGCTTCGGGTTGGTCTTCTGCGAGGTACGCGCCTTCTTCACGTTCTTCTGCGGCATCTCCTGTCTCGTCCAGCGGTGTTGTCAGGTTCCGTATCATTAGTGGGATAGTATGTGTCAATGAAACGGTCAACGCACTATGACATCGTCCTCATCCGAGCTTGACCCCCTTCCATCATCGCTCCCAGCCTCCGAGCTGCTTGAGTGTTTGGCCTTCGCCCATTCATCATCATCTTCGTCCGACGAATCCTGTTTTGAGGCTCGTGCCTTGCCCTTCGAGGACGCTGTCTGGTAACGCACAAGCAGTGGGTGAGTATGAGTCAATATGAGGTAACATACGTACCTTGCTGGTCTGAGTTGCAGCGCCACCTGCCTTCTTCGCTGGAGCCGCCTTCTTCTGCGATAACTCCTCGTCACTGCCTTCCTCATCGCCGTGCGCGCTGTCCATCTCCACCGACTTCTTCTGATTTCTGTTGCTTGTCTGAACAACATCTGCAATCGGGTCCGAGTTCAGTGAGTGATGAGCGTACAGCGGTAAACTAGTACGCACCGAATTTCTCTGCGATCGCCTGCTCTCCCCCCGTGAGCTTGCCCGTGCCCGCACCCCTGTAGGCTGGCCTGGGTTTAGCTGAGAGGAGGCGCAGGTCAGAGTATGTGCACACAGGATTTACTGTACTCACGACGAGATGGAGCCGGCGCAGGCTGCTGCATTGCGATATCGCCATCGCTGCGCTCCTGCTCTCGGTCATCCTGACCTGCTTCCTCACCTTCGCCTCCATTGCCGCTATCATGATTGTGGTCATCGTCCGACTCCGAAGCCGGTAGGAGCACCTTTTTCTTCTTGCGCACGGGCTGCGGGTCTTCGTCCTCGGAAGCTTGCTCTTCGATGGCCAAAGCGGCCGCACGCTTGCGAGTGTCTGATGCCGAGCTTGGGATGTAAACTCTCGCACAGGGTCTCACACTGGCGGTGCACGTACCTTCCCGCTGCTCATCGTCCTGCTCCTTCTGCAACGCCGCCTTGCGTTTCAGCAGCTCATCCAGCTGCTTCTGCTGCGTCGTTGACCACCCTTCGCCGCCGTCGCCTTCGCCTGCCCCCTTGTCGGACTTCTTCCTTGCTGTCGCGGATTTT